GTAGGTAGGATGGATAGATAGATAGATAGATAGATAGATAGATAGATAGATAGATAGATAGATAGATAGATAGATAGATAGATAGATAGAGATAGATAGATAGTGTGTGTGTGTGTGTGTGTGTTAGCTGGAGACCCTTGGCCACAGGCTAAGCACCTGGAACCCTGGATCCGACCAATCGCAGGCAGCCCAGAGGCAGTTGGAGTAAGAATTCTGGGAGGTGGTCTTTCCTTCTGTTCAGGCGGGCAGAGGGGAGTCTGGAGAAGGCAAAAGAGGCAGAGAAGCTTCCTTCATGTTTGGTCACTGGGCAGCGAGTGCAGTACGATGGATGGGCAGAAGTAGCAGAGCAGGCGCCGTGGGTCAGCATGGGTTCTGGACACCGCAACATAGGCGCCTGTCCCTCCATGAATACCTGAGCATGCAGCTGCTGAAGGAAGCCGGCATCTCGGTGCCAAAGGCCCTGGTGGCGAAAACCCCTGAGGAGGCCTTCCTAGCTGCCGAGAAGATCGGGACGGAGGACCTGGTGGTGAAGGCCCAGGTTTTAGCCGGGGGGCGCGGCAAAGGGACTTTCGAAGGTGGGCTGAAGGGCGGCGTGCAGATGGTGGGTTCCCCGGAGGAGGCCAAGGAGGTGGCCGCCCGGATGATCGGCAAGAAGCTCTTCACCCAGCAGACGGGGGAGAAAGGACGGATCTGCAACCAGGTTCTCGTCTGCGAACGCCGATACTTGCGGAAGGAGTACTACTTTGCCATTGCCATGGATGGTGCCTTCCAGGGACCGGTGCTCATCGGCAGCTCCCAAGGCGGCGTCAGCATCGAAGAGGTGGCTGCCGAGAATCCGGAGGCCATCGTGAAGGAGACGGTGAACATCACGGAAGGCATCCGAGAGGATCAGGCACTACGGCTGGCCCAGAAAATGGGATTTCCCACCAAGGTGGCTGGCGCAGCGGCCGAGAACATTGTCAAGCTGTACCACCTGTTTATCAAATATGACGCTCTCCTGGTGGAGATCAACCCGCTGGCGGAGGACTCTACGGGGACCGTGATGTGCGTGGACGCCAAGATCAACTTCGATGACAATTCGGCCTTCCGTCAGCAAAAGGTCTTTGAGCTGCAGGATTGGACCCAGATGGACGAGAAGGAGAGGGAGGCAGCCAACGCGAAACTGAACTACATCGCGTTGGACGGGGACATTGGTTGTCTGGTGAACGGGGCGGGCTTGGCCATGGCCACCATGGACATCATTAAGTTTCATGGAGGCGCACCGGCCAACTTCCTGGACGTCGGTGGAGGGGCCACGGCAGAGCAGGTGAAGGAGGCCTTCAAGGTGATCACATCCGACAAGCGGGTGCAGTCCATCCTGGTCAACATTTTTGGAGGCATCATGCACTGCGACATCATCGCCAAAGGCATCATCCTGGCGGCCACAGAGCTGGAGTTGAAGATCCCCGTGGTGGTCAGGTTGCAGGGCACCCAAATGGATCAGGCGAAGGCCTTGATAGCCCAGAGCGAGCTGGAGATCTTGTCCTGTGATGACCTGGACCAGGCGGCCAAAGTGGCCGTGGGCCTCTCCAAAATCGTGTCGTTGGCCAAGGAAGCCCAGCTGGAGGTGACCTTCCAGTGGAAGACCTGAGGAGGCTTCTCTACTTGGGATTCCTGAAGACCCTCAAGGCCCCCTGAACTTCTAAGGGCTGAATCAGGCAAACATGGCTTCCATCTCCACCATGGCTGATGACCAGATCTCACCAGATCTTCCATCTCCATCATGGCTGATGACCAGATTTCACCAGATCTTCCATCTCCATCATGGCTGATGAGCAGATTTCACCAGATCTTCCATCTCCATCATGGCTGATGACCAGATTTCACCAGATCTTCCATCTCCACCATGGCTGATGACCAGATTTCACCAGATCTTCCATCTCCATCATGGCTGAT